TAGAAGTTAGAGGGCAGGTTTTAGGGCCAGAAGAGGGGCGTGTGTGTGTGTGTGTGTGTGTGAGAGAGAGAGAGAGAGAGAGAGAGAGAGAGAGAGAGAGAGAGAGAGAGAGCATGAGCATGCTTTGATATGTGTTATAGGTCTGTGCTAACCGTGGACTAGATGTCCCATTTCCTTAACAGCGTTAAGAGTAGATGAGGGAAGTGAGGACCCTTCCCGACAGACAGAAACCTACGTCACAGGTTTCTGAGGAATGCTGAGTGTTATTCTCCAGCAATACTCCTGAGGGCCAGAGTCAGAGTCTAGTGTGAGCTGAGCCCAGATTGTCATTTCAGGGCTTGGGACCTAACGCAGAGGACCCAGGTTTGGTTCCTAGTACCCACAGCGCGGCTCACAATCACCTATAATCCAGTTCCAGAGATCCTAACACTTTTTATGGCCTCTGCACATGTGTACAGATACATGTGCAGGCAAGACACCCATACAAGTAAAACCATTTTAGTAATAGTAATAATAATAACCCCACAAAATTAAGTGCAGGCTTTGGAAAAGATCTGAGGAGTGCTGTGACGCCTAAGCTCTATCAGTTTCCTGGAAATGCTAGGTGGACCTTTGATAGGTCCATCAGCAAGTTGCTTATAACCAGAAGCATCCCCAACAGGCATGGTGGGCGGGGTTTCCAGAGGACGCTGCATCCAAGGCCCAGCCTCCAGAAGTCACCCGGGTACCAGGCGTGGCTCCTCCAATGGCTTTCATCTCATGCTAATTGTTCATTTTAAAGACTTAATCAGCTATTTATTTTTGTGTCTGATTAATTTGCATGTGATTTCCATAACATTAATATTCACACACATGTTTGGGAACTCTTCCTTCCTCTGTTCTAACTTAAGCTGGATTCCTGGGACTTAGTTAAGAAAGGAGGAGAAACCAAGCAAACAAAACTCTCTTCCCCAAGTACAGAGCGAAAGGCAGGCGTTATCTTTCCTGAAGCCTCTGGCTCTGCTCAGACCCTCTTTCTCTCCACATTCCCAAGACTTAACCAGTGTCCCTTCAGTTATGAAATTGAAAGCACATAGTCTCAAGGACTTAATGCTCTCCCTGATGTTGGCCTCCAAGGAGTGGCTCCTAAATCAGGAGGCACATGTCATCAAGATGCCTGCAGACAGGAGCATATGGGGTCCTTCCTCAGATTGCCCCTCACCTCCAGCACAGTCCCCCGAATTGTTCAGAAGCCTCATTTACATGGTCCCCCCGACTGTCAGAAGCAGATGGCAGGTGGGCGTACGTGTGACTGTGTGTGTGTGTGTGTGTGTGTGTGTGTGCTGGCATACACATGAGCTGTGCACACATATCAGAAGTGTGCATACATGTGAGACTGTGAGTGCCCACGTGCACATTAGTATACCCACCAGAGGAGGTGAAGGTGAGGATGTGGGAAGACCTCCACCCAAGAAAACTGTGTGGTAGTTCTGAACGTCACCGAAGGTGAACCTTGCCTCCCCAGCCCTACCTACCCTGCAGTGGAGAGGCACAGAGAAGTCACAAAGGCAAGAAGAGGTCTCAGGGAAGTTGGGCGCCAGTGCCAGTTCCAGCAATGACGTCACTCTCCCAGACCCCTCCCCTGAGGCTGTAAGTCACAGAAGCCAATCAATACCGGATTCCACTTGTCTTGGCCTTCTTCATGCTCCTGTCCCAGGCCAGGCCTCTGCCCCCATGTGCTTGTGAGGTCCCTGCGGGCGGCCATCTGGGAAGGCAGGGGCCCTGCAAGAAGTGGGTGAAGCAGAGACATGTAAGGAAAGAGAGAAGACAGAACAGCTTTCTTGTCTGTGAAGGGAGTGTGGAAAGAGAAGCTGAAAAACAGGCCAAAGTGAGGAGGAGACAGACAAGAAAAAGAGAATGGAGAGAGCATGAGGAGAGAGAGAGAGAGAGAGAGAGAGAGAGAGAGA